ATTGGGGGGGGGGGAGCTTTATACTTGCCCCCCCCCCAGGATCCGCCACTGCAAATCATTAGACTGTCGACAGTCGGTCGTACCTAATATTCATCTGTTATTATTAGTAAATATTGTGTATAAACGTAATACATGTATGCGTGAATAAATGTGAACGCCGGTACAGGAAGTATGGAAAGTTTCTCGCGTGAAATGCTTCGATTCGCATTTCACCGAGCCGGCTTTTGAATATCAACAGTCTATCTACTAGTAACCATCAACTAATAGCTTCGCGGTGAGTGGCTTTCGCGGGAAGTAGGGTTTTGTCGCAGTAACTGGTCCTTTCATCGTTATTGAGAATTAAAATGTGTATGTGTCTTTAACAACTGATGCTACGGTATTCTGGGAATACCATCCTTGGGAGCTGTTCCTATGAATAAGACCCATGCTTTGATAATGCCCCTAGTTTCTTCGACCAAGGAAGTAGAAAAGACCAAGAAACATTTAACCATTTATAGAATGGGTTTTGCATCATGCATTATTGTTATACTGCTTAGTGGCATACCAAGTAATGATCGTATTGGTGTTACAGAAGAATAGTTGAATATTGTTTCTAGAAAATTGTAATCCCCAGAACAATTTTTCAATATTGATAAGAAATTATAGTACGAAACTCATTCTCAGCAATGAAATAAAAATTTATATATTTTTATTATTATTATTATTATTATTATTACTAATGAATTACAATGCAACTAATTACAATTGAAAGGAATTACAATATAAAATATTTCATCAGTGACACGCGGTCAGATTGTTTTACGAAAATTCTTTCATTTTACATAGTTTTTCTAACATGGCATAGTTTATCGATGTTTATTTTTAATCCTTACAGCCTGCAACACACTAATCCGACACAGCTGGCCACTCACTAATTTATATTTATCTTGTACTTCTTCGTTGCGTAACTTGTACCTATATACGTTATATAAACACGATGGTTACTAGTAACCGTGATATAAACGAGTTCTTAGTTGTCATGTTATTATTCAAATACTATATTCTCTAAGACAAGCCTACGTCACAAATTGGTCAAAATCCCCAAACATTGCCAGCAACCAATCACAGACTAGCTTAAACAATAGCTTTCCCTGACGATAATACTTAGCAACGTTATTTCCCCCACGCTAACTTGAAAACTCTGTTGTTTTTGTCTCGTTTCCGTTTCCGGTCTGTCTTAGAGAATATGAGCTATTACGTGCCAGTAACATTATCTTGTGATCGAGGCTATCGTTACACAATATTTGTGATGTTGTCATCGTTACACAAAATTGTACATGCAGTCTAGGTAAAATGGAATCTGAAATAGCTTAAAAGCTAGTCCAGTCAGATCCCTGACATGACATTAATTTAATGACTTAAGTTAAGACTGGCAGTGGGTAGTTACACATTAAAATATTTCAAATACACAAATATGATAATAGAATAAGAATATATATACACATACATTTACAGCTGTATTTGACCACGGTTACTAAAAAAGATTTTTTTTTTAGTAACCGTGATTTGACAGTCAACATTTTAATCAGATTGGGTGCAACCTTTTTCGCAAAACCGTAAAAGTGATGAGAATGTATATTTCTGCAGGTCGGCTCATGAAACTGGCCGGAAAACAAAATTTAGGCGACTATTACATGCTATTGGACTTGTGTTATGTCTTCGTTTTTAATATATAATTGAACCATTTTTGATAAAAAAAAATATTACATTACACTGTCTCTTGTTTTCAGGGACTGATTTGTTCACAGCTAGAAGTCTAGAAGTCTTTATCCCAATCCGCCTTGTGATTGCGGACTTGTTTCATTTTCACAGACAGTACACAAGTTTATGAAACTCGTGATTTGTAATTTTACACAACTTGGCATATACTGACTCTTACCGGCGATAAACCGGTTGTTAACAACCAACTCCCCGAGTAACTCTGATTTTAAACAATATTTCTTTCCCGATGTCAGCGTGTGATAACATGAAGAATAGGCTCAAATTTCAGTATGTACATGGACAATTTTTCAAATCAGCACATAAAAATTACGTACTATTTTACATTAAAATAATGAGGATTTGGTTATTTGGCACTTGACCGTCAGCTACGAATACCATGTTCGCAAACGCGAAGTCTGGTACGCGGTGCGTCCGAAAATGGAATGCGCTGTGTCATACACCGTCTATTTTATTAGCGGAATTTCTCGTAGACTTGCGGAACACAGACGCACATGCAATCGTGAAGTGGAAGCGAGCGAATTCGTCGGTGACGGCGCTGTTAAATAACTCTATATAAATATATTTATTTCGTTGACTTTTACATCGACTTCAAATGAATTAAATTTCCCAAGATGATCGGTTCAGAAATGTTTATTCTTACTCTCTTGTATTTCGACAACTATGCACCTTTCCTGGACTAGTTTCATTTACCCCCTGTATATGATAATGATATTGTACTTGTATTTTTAAAATAAATATTGTTAAAAGCTTAGATAGACAGATGCATAAGATTTATTTGCTAAATTAGCCAGTTTATATTTCTATTGGTTATGTATATCCGAATACATAGTACCAATTGTGGTATGCATTCATTAAAATTTGCCTGTAATTACCGATTGTGTAAAATTTTAGAGATAAAAAATCTGAAAAAGTCGTTTAGCGGGTCGTGGTCACATATTATATTAACGGATACTCGTTCGCGATAAGTTTAAAATAATCCAGGAATAACGTATGGTAATTTTAATATTGATGGTTTGTTGGATTTACACTAACGGTTCGACGTTCGTGTCGGCTGAATATCCATGAGTGTTTAATGGATATGGAATGCATCGCATAAACATCAATCAGCCCTAAAAAATCGAATACTTCAGATGTGTTGATGTATTTGGTTTCATTTTCTTGCCGCAATGCTGAGACTCAGCTCCCAGCAGTATAATAAGACATGCCGTTGAGGACAGCATAATAATTTTAATTACGTAAACGGCGACTATGGAAGCACTCACAAGGAGGGAACTGATAATTGACCCTTCCCGAGTTCCCTCAAACGTTCTAATTAGCCCAATATTTTTTCGATACGTTTAG